TAAGCGAAACATCTTTCTAGTAACTAGCAAGTACTGCACTAATGTGCAAAGTTCTACAGACTGAAACTTGGTCAGTGTCAGTCACTGAACTCTCGCCATTTAAATCGTTCATTATTATAGTTATTATTGTTTCCTTTAGCTCCTTGTGGAATATAGGACTTCAGCTGCCCGTCTTCATGATATTCGGTTCAGTTCCCTGCCAACGTTTTCATCACCTGGCTCCACATCTGCCCACATACTTTCATCTCCTCCTCACATGACTTCCTCCATGTCACCCTCCTATTCGGGTCCCACTCGAGTGATCGCCTGGCGTGTGAAAGATGTCAATTGATGGTTCGTTTTCACAGAGTATGCCTAATCCACCTCCATTTCTTTTTGCTTATTTGTTGCACAGTCGGCTCCTAGTTGGTTCGCTCCCAGAAGTTCCTCACTCTTGCTGATCTTTTGTAGCTAGCCATCTAATCTTGAGTTAAGTATTGAGCAAAGACAGCTGTTGATGAAAGTCTGTAGTTTGTTCGAAGTGCCCTCCATTACGCGGCGCTCTGCCACGTCTCTGATCTGTATGGTAGCACTGACTTCACATTAAAGTGAAAAATCCCGATTTTATTTTTCATTCTGAGTGCTGTTGATCATTTTATGAACTGCATGTTCTTGTAAAGTGCACGGTGAACAGATATAGGGTATTAGTGAAGAAAATAGATATTTCGAAAATTCTTTAACAGATTACTTCACTTATAAAAGGCAAACAAATTTGCATAAAACTATATACTACTGATTTCAAGGAAATGAGTAGTTGGTTTATCATTCCTATCAGTCAACAAGTAGTGCTTGATAGCCAGCCACATGGAAGTCAACTAAACACTGTTAGGACTGCCATTTAGCTGTCGTTTGGGAACGAGCTCACCAGCCACGTAGCTGATTCGACTCAGATCAGCCAAGATAGCCTAATCATCAGTTCAAACACCATTCAGTTTCTGACTAACTACTCAGTCGAACTGGTCGTAGCATAAATCAAATTCACAATTTGCAATGTACACAATTCCATTTGTGAATTTTCACCGCAGTTTCTCCCAAAAACCCGAAATTCGATAGTTTGAACTGATCTGGCTCTCTGAGATGAGTGAAATCGGGTGCACGGTGACTGATATGAGTGGTATGCAACTATTGGACGGTATCAATCAGCACTATATAGTTGTATGCATATATGCTTGCTTTCTTTATTACCATAATTAGTTTCAAGCAGATCATATATTTTAATTGGAATAACTTGGTTTCCAAAGAATACTGTGGTCACATTTCACCAGTCGAACTATGCAGATTACAAATCTAATCAGCATACAATTGGTGGATGGTGGCTAGCAGTGGAATCTAGGATGCGCATTTCGTCCTATTTGGGACTCGTCAGCTGGATGTACCTGCATTTCTCAGTGAGTGATGATGTTCCCACTGAGGCTCGAACCAAGTACCCACAGTTTCAAACGCCAAAGCGTTATCCACTAGACCACTTGGGCCATGAGAGCCACCTCTTGTGCAACGGGTCATATTAATTATTGAATTGAATTTTTGATTTTCCCGTCGATTGATTGGACCGAAATCGACGGGAAAATCAAAAATTCAATTCAATACAAATCTAATCCTTGAAAATTCGACTATTGAAAACTATTCTAATGCTAACTAGTAACTTGCTACAGAATGGAGTTTCCTGGAGTTCTATCGAGAAGTTGTGACTAGTGAGTTGCATCCAGATATCAAGTGTGAGGATGGGTGTCCCACTGATGACATGGGTCACTGGTCACTCTAAATCATCAGCTGGTGAAAGTTAGAATTCATGGCGTGGCCACTGAATTGGGTCGGGTCCCAGTGTGGGGTGAATGGTATACGAACCAGCTAGCTTGCCTTGTAACCGGAAGGTCCTGGTGGGTCCGAAACCCGATGGTGGATGTGTATTGTCGACTAGTCTCAAACTACGTGGAGGGGCAGGAGCAGTACTCCCTGCTTGTTTTCAATGGTCCACTAACTGATATCAATCCGTGATCACACCCGTAAAAATAAATCTTATCCTTAAAAACTAACTATTGAAAATTAATCTGATGCTTGCTAGTGACTTGCTACCCTACGGAAGAATAAAATAATCGCTGTATTGTAATTAAATTAAATGTGATAGTGAAATCAAGGAAGTTTCATTTAAAAATGATGAATACTATTCGTGTAAAACAAATTCAATATTTCTTAATAATCCAACCTATACATGTTTTGTGCGTCGGTGGTATAGCGGTTAGGACGCTCGCCAACCATGCACATGGTCCGGGGTTCGATCCCCGGCCGACGCACACCTTTGCCTCTCTAAGCCAGATATAATTCTGGTAAAGAGCAAAGGTTGGGCATGAGGCTAGCAACCCCATCCTGTAAAATAAACTCTGCTACAGAAACTTCAAGCTACTAGCTTGAAGCCCTATATTCCACTGGGGAACGTGAAGGAAAAATTATTATATTATTATTAATTCTACATTTCAGTGAAGTATGGAAAAAAAATAAACAAACAGGCACAAAATATTCTGTTAAGTGGATAATAAAATTTTGTTAAAATCCTTTTTTTTAATTGAATTAATCTCATTTTCACTTCGGCTGAATAGAAATACAATGTGTATATATATGTGTGTGCGTTCTAGAAAAAATTCCTTCTTAATAGTTTTAAAATAAGTCCAAACAAATGATCTCACATTCACCGTAGGTTTTCAATGAATCTCTAGCTTATTTGTAATCTAACCTTTGGTCAGTCAAATTCCTGTAAAATACGATGAGTTTAGCCTTGATCTATAGGTGACCATAAGGAGATCAGAGCCTATGGGTGATTGTGAGGCCAGGTGAAAAGGATTGTAGAGAAGCGGGAGAGGGAGTGGATCGAGTCGCACCGTCTAAGCCATATGTTCTACTCGAAACCAAAGTGAAAAATAATAGTAACGTTTTAAATTAACACTTAATTTAATAATTAGGACTCCCAGGTTTTCCAGTGGTTCTCTAATTGATGTCAGCTCAGGATGATGAAATCCTCCAATCAATCAAACCAAAAAATCCCCACAAAACCTATAAGTGAATATTAATCTTATGCTCACTAGCGACTGGCCCTATTCAGGCAGCCACCTGGCGTTCTAGTGGGAAGCCGTGACCGTTAAGGTACAGCAGGTTGAAGATGAAGCACTGACCCATCGAAGAAGACATTGCGAAGTAGCCGCGCTATATCATGAATCGGTAGAAGTTGGAATTGATAGGCTGGCCATTAGATCAGGTCCCAATGGCGAGCTTGTTCGCCTTATAGCCAGAATGTCCTGGATTCGAACCCTGACAGTGGGTGCGTACTGATGAAGAATCCCAAACTAGGGCAAAACAGCTATCCAGTAATCTCTGATGGCTTGTCCAATAGTTCTCTAGCTGAAGTCAGCTCATGATGAAATCCTTCAACCGATTTGCATCCCTTATGTCTTCCCTATGCTCTCACTTCAAGCCAACTTCTTACCCTAGATTTCTTTCCATAGTCGATCCTGTAACTCTATATTTCTCCAGCCTTTTGTGTTACCATATTGGTAATTACCCTAGATCCCTAAAATGACCAAAGTATTTGATCACGTATTCGCAGATGTCTGGTTGTTAAACCCCTTCCTTCACCTTAGCTTTGTAACATCCCTAATGGAAAATTCCCTAATTCCATTTCCTTTTGTCTTCCATCATCTTTATAATCATTGTAATTTCAGCTGTTTTTCTCGACCACATGTGACTTATTTTATGCTGGTGAATATCGGTATTTCACGCACACCCAAAAAAAGAGACCATGATCGTGTGTATTGATTGACTAAGCAATTTGTGATGCAACTAACTGCATCTCTCACACAATATAAGCGTGACTGTATAGCTTGAAAAGAAGATGTTCGTGCTATGTCATGAACTGAAGAAAGTTAGAATTCATGGACTCAGCATTGGGTCGGATTCCGGTGGCTCACTGGTCTACGAGCTCGCTTGCATTGTCACCAAAAGCTCCTGAGTACGAACCTGGTGGGTGAGTACTAATGAAGAGTCCCAAAAGACTGGAACGAAACAGCTGTCCGGTACTTTATGGTGTTTTTTCAATGTCTTTAAATATTCCCATTTTTAATATTAGAACAAGACAAATAAGCGAACAATATTGTTGTTTTCAATTAGATCTTCATCAAGCTTTACTCTTATTTACATAGATTTATATACAAAAATTTTAACCAATTATGGTGATTTTATGGATCAAATAATAATAATAATAATAAAGTGGCAAATGTTTTCAACGTAGTTAGTAACAGTGATTATAATGATAACAAAATACTGATAATAAGGCTCACGCTGGTGATGGTAAGAATAATGATATGTAGACAATTCTATAAATAAATGGTTTTGGTCAAATCTTAGAAGTTGCGTAATACTAAAGGTGAAGCGGACAGATAGATAATCAGAGTTTAAATAAATATCATAAAAATACGAAGGAGACGGAAAATAAGAAAGGATGAGAGGGTTTTGAATAGAATTCACATAGGCTAAGCAAAGGAGAGACAAAGGTAGAACAAACTTCTTTTACAAGCAAAGACTAGGATTGTTCTCTCGAATTAATTCCCATAGCTTCGGCTATGTGTAAAAGGCAGGTTCTGATTCCGTTTGATAGACTCGATGGATTACGATAGGTAACTTTGAAGGCGGCACTATTTTTGTCCACTTGGTGACAGCTATCGATCGAATGAGTCAAAATACAGCTTCTTATAGATTTCATTTGACCTTTTCCAAACCATGAAGGAGGATGTTCATTCCAATGTTTCTCTAATTGATGTCAGCTCATGATGAAATCCTCCATCGAATCAAAGCAAATCCCTACAAAACCAATAATTGAAAATTATATATATATATATATATATATGTATATATGTACATATATATATATAATAACACAATCTGTTATGGTGTGTTTTCTTTTATTTCATTTATAGAATCATGTTTCGTACTGCTGCCATGGTCAGTCTTGCTTCAGTTAGTATGAATACACCAGACACATTTAAACAAGTTCCCAGTTTAATGTATATCACATTTATATTGGATTTAATGGTTGCCTTATTGTTTACAATTGAAATGATTAGTAAGATGTACATTGAAGGCATAATTGCACCAGCATCAAGTCAGGTTAGTTGTCCCTCAAAAACACACACACTTTTTTCATTCTTATTATTATTTTATTTCATTTCATTTTTAGTGTTCCTTGTATTACATAACACATTGAGCTGTTCTTTTTTTTAACTCTCAACCAGCTAGCATTGAAAGTGCGTTGGTGGTTTAGCGGTTAGGACACTCGCCGACGCTGCACATGGTCCGGGGTACCATCCCCGGCCACAGATGCACTCCGTAACCTCGCTAAGCCAGAAAAAATGCTGGTAAAGATGGGGGGGGTTGGGCAGGAGGCTAACAACTCCACCTTGTAAAAGTAAACACTGCTACAGAAACTTCAAGCCACTAGCTTAAAGCCCTATGTTCCACTGGGGTCTGTGAAGGAGAGAATAAAGCTAGCATTGAAAGGTTCATGTTTTCAAAATGAATTACACGAAGAAAATTTGCAGGAGTTGTTTAATGTAGGTAGGTAGGTAGGTAGGCCAGAAATGTTTACAAAAAGGATGGTTTTGTTTTTTTTAGACCACAGCGAATGAGGAAAAAATGATTAATTATAAAAATTCCAGAAAGATCCACACCAAAATAATGTGTGCAGACATTGTTTTTAAAAAAGAGTTTAAACATACTGTATCACTTGCAATTAATAGTGTTCTCTGAGCTGGTTGGTTTAATTGCGGAGCTGTCATCATCCCCCTTCTGGACAACATCCCCTTTCTAGTGTAATATTTAGCATAAAGTGAAATGATTTGAATTTTTCATGAGTGGTGATATAATTGCGTCTCTCGGCAACCATCTTTACATATGTTGTACTGATCATTTTCTATTGACTTGGATTTTAAACTTTCTGGTCATGTGGTGATTTACTTTTATTAGTTTGTATATTTGGTCTATACATTAACGTGTTTGTTAATTGCATATTCGTTTGAGTACCAAGCAGGCTTCTAGGAATTCCCTGGCTGCACTTTTGGTGTTTCCTCTGTCTGAAATTTCGACATTATTCGAGGTGTCAAACTGATGTCTATAATTGTCTATATGCATTGATATGAAAGAATATATATATCGTGTCTTTTCACGGCTGGTTTGTGTTCCTGGATTCTGATTCGAAGGGGACGCCCACTTTGGCCAATGTAATGCCTGTTACAGTTCATGCAATTTAGTTTGTAAATGGTATTAATTTTATCTCCATTTTCTGTTGGATGGGTCTTTCGGTTTGCATAATATCCAATTAAGCGATTCGACTGGCTTGTGTGTTATATTTACATCAAACGGTTTCAGTATTCTAGTTGTTATTTCGGAGATATTTTTCATGTATGGTAGGATGAATTTTCTTGTAGTCTTTGGTGGTGGTTCCTTGTTAGTGTTGTGATTCAATTTTGTGGATAACCATTCTTTTTTAAGACCGTTTGTAGGTATATTACTTCCATTCTTTTCAACTCTGGAGTGCTACAGTATTGTGTTTGAATTCTCATGTGAACAATGTCTGCACACAGTTTCTTTTGTAAGTAATTGGATTATTGCTAGTATAGTTGAGTATTTGATCTTCTCTATTATACTATAGCACTCTTGTGTTGAAAAGAATACAGGTAAAATGCTTATTGAACGTCTTTAAAACAAATGGATATCATCCTCACAATTTCATCAAAAGAGTGTTTAAATCTGAATCAGAACATTGACAAGAAACTATCTCCTCAAAGACCACAAGAAATGAATTCTACCACATACATATAAATAAAACCAATGAAATAACGCTTAGAATATCAAGACCCTTTTAAATAGATATACCACACAAGCCAGCCAGTACAATCCTTTCATTCCATATTGTGCAGACTGAAAGACCACTCGGAAAAGAAGATAAAATTAACTCCATTATGGATAAGATTTTATTTTGATAAATCATACAGTGTTGTACAGTAATATTAATTGTATTAACAGTAATATTAACATATTTATAGACAGTTGGGAAAATAGTGCTCTTAATACATTTAATCCTACTCCAAAACTATGGTGGAGATATGTGGATGACACTTTCATGGTGTTGAAAACAGAACATATCTCTCTCTAGCTTCTTGACACACAGAAACTCACTAGTGGAGGGAATAAAATTCACATTTGAATCGGAAAGTGAACAGGGAGAATTAGCTATGTTAGACTGCAAAATAAAACGAATAGAAGAAGGTAAACCACACAGTAATGTGTACAGAAAACCAACTCATTCTAATAGATACTTAGACTTTAATTCATCTCGTCCGTTAACTGTTAAGGCAGGCTTGGTTAAGTGTTTAACAAACCGAGTAGTGGCACTAAGTAGCACAAGAAAAGACCTAAATGATGAAATAAAACAGATAGAAGAGGCGTTGGTGTTAAACAACTATGCTATAAAATTCATTAGGAAGATCAGCAAAAACCAAAAGCAAAAATAATAATGGTGAAACTAATAACAACATAAATGAAACAGAATATAAGTCATCTGCAGTCATACCATATAAAGAAGGGATATCTGAGACCCTACGTAGGATTCTAAATAAAGCAGGAATTAGGGTGGCATTCAAACCTACAAACTCACTCAGGTAGGATAAGCTCTGTAGGTTAAAGGACCCAGTTGAACCAATTAGACAAAATAATATAATTTATGAAATACCCTGCAATGACTGTGAGGTCAACTACATAGGTCAGACTAGTAGGTCAGGAGTAGTCAGATTGTCGGAACATAAGAATTTAGCTAAGGTTTGAAATGGTTGGGTCTGAGAAGATAAGTAATTCAGCAAAAAGCTCGTCGACTGCACTGCATGTATTAACACATAACCAAACAGTGGGGTGGGAGAGGGTTTAAATTCTAAGAATGAAGTAGTATAGGTATGTAGGTGGACAGAGAGGTCGATTACTGAATCCTGGTTCATGGGATCTGCACCCAACACATGCAAAAGAAATGACTCAATGCAAATACCAGAGATATGCAGGGGAGATATTATTACCACCACTCAGTTAAATCAGAGGAGGATAATAAATAATCTTAAAATTCTATTTCAACTCACGTACACGACGACATTCTAAGAAATTACTTTTTTTGATTGTAAAAACACTCGTCTTATTTCCCATCTGATTGTAATTGATCAATAACACTCATATTATTGTTTCTGAATGTACGTTATCCTATATTAGTTGATTTTTATTCAAATGTTCAATCATCAATTCCACTCATGTATATAAATGAAGAAAAAAGTTGTGTGAGTGAGTGACTTGATATGATTATAAGCAGCAATAGTTTGTGCTCGAAACGTGGTCATCAGTTAATATTACTGTACAACAAACACTGTGTGATTTATCAAAATAAAATCTTATTCACAGTGGAGTGCCCAAGTATTGTACTTACATCAAGATAAAATTAAAACCACTTACAAAATAAACTGTATGAACTGCAGTAGACATCACATCGGTCAAATGGGGCGCCGAATCCCAGGGTACAAAATGGCTGTAAAAATACATGATATATACATTATTTCATATCAATGCATATGGATAATTATGGACACCAATTTCAAATAGAGGAAACACCTGGTACTCAAGTGAATCAGCTAGATATTAATAAACATATCAATATAGACCAAATTTACCAGCTAATAAAATTTAAATCATTACATAACAAAAGCGTTCGAACTCTAAGTCAATAAAAGTATGATCACAAGAGACATAAAGTAACGACTAGTCAGGACACTGGTTGCCAGAAGATACACTTGTGTCATTCATGGAGAATTCAAATAAGTCTATTTCATACTAAAACCTACGCTGAAGATGTTGTCTATAAAGGGGGATGACGAAAGCTTCGCAATTAATTTATCATGAACCAGCTCAGAGAACAGAACTACTTCAAATTGATCCATCTATATGAGTTACAAATCTTTTCCATTATTTCAAAGATCCATAGCACATCAGTACACTGATAATAAATAGTAATAAAAATGCAATTATTTAGATAACCTTTATTTCTTAGAAATCAATACTTGGAAAATCATCACTGTATTTCATGTTTATTGGAAACCGGTGAATTTCGTGTCATGTGATTTATTCTTTATTAGTTATAGTAAATTTGATCTATAGTAATGCACTTCCTAATCTCTGATATTCACCCGATTATCACACCAGAAATTCCTTTTGCATTTTTTTAAATGTTTCCTTTATATTCAAAAAGTTTTCACATTCTTCCAATCTTACTTGGTGTCCTTGATTGTCTACATGCATCAATATGGAAAAAGTCAACGTGTCGTGTCATTTCCTTCAGCTAATCTGTGTTCTTGGATTGAGATTCGAGAGCGGACACCCACTTTGATTTATGTAGCGTTTATTGCAGTTTATGTAATTTTTGTTTTTTGTAGATGGTGTGTTGTTTTATCTTCTTTTGCTGTGAAATGGACAAAGTTAAACTTTCAGCACACTAGCTACCAGCCAGCGAATGACCTTCAATGGACCAATCATAAGAAAGAGGGATTTTGATTAAGAATAACGTATATTCATGGAAAAAAAAAGCATAAAAATTGCATAAAACGCTTACATAGGGTATCTCTGTCTAACATGTGGCAGAAAAATCTCCCAGTTTAGAATATGAGTGTCAATAGAAAGGTAACACTACATTCTGTACATGTATTCATCCAAATGACTATAAATGAGATCCTTTTGAGATCCATTTATAGCCCTAACCCTGTTTTTAATCTTCCCCGAAGTCCTTCTATAGATATCTTGTGTGTCCCTGTAATTGAATCCGCGAAATTATTACAATGGTTCACCGTGTGATGAATATATCCAAGAGATGACAGCGAGTTATAACCTCCATTTTTGATAGTGGTTGTTTTGATAGATTGACTACGCAGACTGCGTAGAGTTATAACCTCTTCATTCATCGGTATGTACTATGGATCCCTGTTTCACGAGTCTAGTAATAATAGGTATTGAAGTAGTTTACTTTCTGTCTGGTATTCTCTCCACGAATCATTTCTGTAAGCAGGTGTCAAATAAACCAATCACCCAAACATTGTTGGATTGCTCACGAAACCGGTTGTATTTTTTCTTCAATAAGACAGTTTCGTCCACGTGTTCGAAGCCATCTTCTCCGCCTAACAACGAAGAAATTCTCTCCATTTTCCATGATGCGATGTCTCTGTAGTGACGGTACCACGGAATTGTTGACACGAGGCTATTTTCGGTTTCAGTAGCTGCGCCTCTCACAGGTTGTTTTATAACCCATTAGTTACAAAAATGTACAAAATCTGGGTTAGGAAGAGATGTGGTCTAGCAAAATATGTTCCTAAGAAATATTAACATTGTCAGCTTACCTTCCCTAATACTATCTCGTCTTAAGCAAATCGCACAATGATGGACATATCCAACAATCGACCTTCTAAAGCTTTTTAAACTCATGACACCATCACATGAACAAATCCTCTCCTTTCCAATCCACCCTAAATCCAGGCAATATTGCAAAACTTTATCCTTCTTGAACTGTATGCGTAACTTCGTTAGAGCACACGTTTGATGCGAATCAAGCGCTATACGGCCTTGAACTCACATGCATGAACCTCACTGGACCATTTGAGATCGTTCGCTAATTGGTAGTGGGTGGTGCTTAAAGTTTAACTTGGCCATGAAATGAAGTGAATATGTTGCCTTGTGTCGTCTGTGCGTCTCAAATTCTCTTAATATTGTAGTCATTATGTTAGACATATTCTTTATATATATATATATATGGTAGGATGGGTTTTCTTGTGGTCTTTGAGGATATGGTTTTTTGTTGGTATTTCGATTTCAGTTCTGCTCAAGTTTTCCAAAGCGATCCCTGTCTATCAAACGCCTGAATCTCGACTAATGTGTTCAGAAAGAAGCAGTTATCAGTAATCTTTCCTTGCCCACCTGGTAACTGGATGTCTTTTTTTTCTACCTCTCTCTCTCTTTCATTCAGTTACGTAATCTCTGGCTTTCACCTCACCTGCCCCCTTTGGTGTAGTGTAATTTTGCTTGGCTCGTGTTTCTAGAACTTGAGTTGAACTCAGTACATTGTTATCCGATTCACTAGTCACTCATCATCTTACGTACCTCTCCTCCTTATTACGTAACTCCTTCACCATTGTAAGGGTGATTTTCTGAGCACTGTTCACTGTTCAAGTGCGAAATCTCTTGTCAAATAACGCTATACAAAATTCCCAAGTACATTAAAACTTTTTTGTACATAAACTTAATAATAATAGTAATTATGATTTATCTAGGCTGTAAGCAGCAGCAGCTGATGAGGACCCAACAAAAGAAATGTTGCCACCATCTACTTATTGTTCACTAATCATTCTTCTTCTTGCTCTATTCAAATTTTGATTTGAATTTGTACACTTGTTGATGCAACCTGATGAGTATTCATTATTGTTCTTCAAGACAATTAGTAGATATTTCTCAATTTATTCTCTTAACAACCAGAAAGTGACAAAGTAAATTGCATAAGCTGTGATGAATACTATATTCGTCAAAGTGAACGTCTGGACTCGAATCAGAATCCAAGAATATAAATTAGTTGTGAATAAGATACGACATGTTGTATTCCCTCATGTCGATTAATGTCAACAATCAAGAGCATCAATTTAGTCAGGAGAATGTAGAAACTTTAAAAATACAGCGGAAGTAGAAAGAATTTCAGTGAAATTTTAGAAGACTGATGCCTAGGTAAATCAACCGTTAACAGATCGAATTCATCAACCGATGAAATATAAATCCTACGACAAAAAAGTTCAAATTCTACGTAAATAAAAATGACTAGGTAAATTGAAAACTAGTCACAACAGTGGTTGACAGGAGATAAAATTTTTCCCTTTAATAAGGGAGATAAGATGACTTCATTTCATTCTAACAGTTGAGCAGAAGATGTTTGCCTGGAAGGGGGACAATGTATGCTTTGCAATTAAATCACCATCCAGCTCCGGAAACACAACTAAATAGAAATCAGGAGGTAGTTCTAAGTATAATGTTTATGCTGTAGTGGATTATATCTCTCGGCATTAGATGGTTGGAGGCAGTCAGTAAGAGGAAGCCTTCGACCTAGGTTTTGTTCTAGCTGACACTCACCAATCATCAAGGCGTATCTGCATTCACCTCGAAGAAACTCACTTCCATCCTTCTGAAACTCGAACCTGTGTCACCTAGTGCAGCTTTCAGTCAGAGACGTTACCACTGAGCTATTCAGGCTGGAGATTGACTTCCTGTCGAACTGACTGTATTAGATAATTTTGATTAGACACTGGTCAGTAACCAGTGTAATGTATGTCTGTCTGTTTTCGACATAGAACTTTGCACCGATGTGCACCAGTTCAAGTCACCACACTCCACTCCTTGTAGCACACGAAGCAAGAGAAGAAGGTAGAAGAAATGCATAATAGAGACAGTAAACAGAGGTGTGAGATAAAGGAATAGTAATAATGAAGAACAATATAATTTCATTGGAAATCATAAGTCACAATGAGTGAATGCATATGCGCCTGCCATTGAGAACGATTTTGAACCGGATCACCAATTTTTTTCAGTCATTGGTTTTTACCGTCCAGAGTACCCGAACCAGCCAGGAAGTCTACACCTCCCTCTACGTGGATGGCTTAAACTAACTGTTGTGGATTTCGTTGACCGGTGCCATGTTTTGATATGACCGCCGCTAGCTCTTTTCCAGCCTTGTCGTATGTCAGCTAACATTGTCCGTCGAGGAAGGCGATGCCTAGGCATGCGTAACACGTGTCCTGACCATCTCAATTGGTCTAACTTCACAACCTTGTTGACTGATTTCCTCTCTTTACCTAGAACTCGATGCCTTACCTTAATATTATTATACCACTTCACACAGGAGATAGAGCGCAGGTACCTATGATAAAAGACAGTTAACTAGTCTTTTCATGTCTTCCACTCTAAATGGTTAGGTCTCACAGCCATAAAGGAGGAAAGAGCGGATTGATGAGCAGTACACCCGCCCTTTGGTTGATAGCCAGCCGGATATCACGTCTACGCAAGAGACAGCGTAAACTGGCATATGCGAAACTAGCCCACTGTGTGCCTGCTGAGATTTCGTCAGAGATCAACCCGTTGGCGTTGGTTGATGGTACTTCCCAAATAAGTGAAGCGGTCAACGTGCTCTACCACTTCACTCCCTAATTCAGTGTTGTCCAATCCTGTAAGATACATCATCTGTAATGTATGCGTGTCTAGTCCTATCTTTCATGCAGACTGAATTCTATCAATTAGGTTTGCAGTTTGGCCACCATATCAGGTGCCTCAGTGGTAACATCTCTGACTGCAGGCTGCATCGGGTGACGCCATTTCGAATCTCAGAAGTGACATGAGTTCCTTCAAGGTTGCAGATACGCCTTGCTGACTGGCAAGTGCCAACTAGAACGAAATCTTGGTCTAAGGCTACCTCTTGCCTATTGCCTCCAACCATCGAATGCCAACAGTTCACAGTGCATCGTGACGGCAAGCCACCTAGTGGCATGGTGGTCACACTGAAAACTTGACTGTGATGGCAACCAGTCTGCACCGAAGATAGGACTGGACACACCACACCTGTTACTGACTAGTATTCATTGAGAAAGATTATGACTCTGTCAAATGAACGAATGAATAATGCATTATTTTCATTCATTCATTATTGTGTTGATGGCGAAAAATGTATGTCTCTCAGCTGATGCGACACAAAGGCTGCCAGAGAACTATTCGAGCACACAATTGATGTCCTATAGGACTGTATTCAATACTTTGATACTCAGCAGTAACATCCCCGTCTGCAGGCGCCAGCGGGTGATACGCATTTGAATCTCAGAAGAAACATGAAGTCCTTCAAAACTGCACATACGCCTCACTGACTGGTAAGTGGCAACTAGCATAAAAGCTAGGCCAAGCTTGGGTTTGTGCTAATCACCACCAACCATCTTATTATACGAAATCTCTGCAGTGACTTCTGTGTTCTAGTCACGTTACATGGGGAATATTTCCTACCTTGAGATCCTATGTCTTATATACATATAAGCATCATTTATTTTCAAATGTCTCTAAGTACATTAATATACCAAAGATGTATGCCAGCGATAATTCAGGAAACCAAAAGTAGCACAATTTTTTCTGAAAACAGTAAGCAAGCAAACGATTGTGACAGAAATATTTTTTTAAATATTTTTTATATTCGCTTCTATATCTACTGCTCTGACATTAAGCATAGCATGTATTTATTCACAGATGTATATCGCATATTTTATAAATGGACTAATTCTCTCTAATGTGTACATGTTCTTCCCTTCCCCTGTATATATATATATATATATTTCTCTCTCTTGATGAACAGCTGTTGAACGGCGAATTCCACGTACACATATCTGTATTCTTCTGTTCTATCTTACTATATAACACTGGTTTAAATATGATTCCTTTGACCACTTTTATCATTTATTAAATTTATTCACGCAAATGTTCTTATCTCTTGTGGTAAACAAATGGACAATGTTTTGTTATTTGTTTGTTTTTGTGTAGAGAAAATGGATTGATTTTAAAAGAGGTCCTCCGAACATATCTTCCTTGCTCTGCTTGCGAGACATTTTACAAGATTCCTTTTATATTTAATGGGCACGTAACTAAGGAAGTGTGTGTACTGCCCTGTGAATGTGCTTTTTTAGTTAAGATCCTGGGTCCTTTGCACAGAGAAATTGTGCAACATAGAATTAGTGATGTTTTCAACTTTATTTCTAAAATATTCGAGATTAATGTGAGGTGTAAACGCATGTTATCCATGGATGTATCATCACTATTCACTAACGTACCGCTTTTGGAAACAGTGGATTATATTTGTCAAAAAATCACCGATAGGCAATTAGACTTAGGAATCCCCTTGTGTAGCCTCAAAGAATTACTTCTTAAATGCACAATCAATGTTCACTTCGTCTTCAATAATTCATACTATCGACAAGTAGATGGAATAGCTATGGGTTCACCACTAGGCCCAATATTAGCTGACTTCTTTCTCGCAAAACTTGAAAACGGGAAATTGAAGGATACCATCAAGGAGTTGGATATGTATTACCGATATGTCGATGATACATTTATCTTAGCTGATGAGAAGGTTAACATAGACGAGTTGTTACTTAAATTCAACAACATCCACCCTTCGCTTGCCTTTACTTGTGAAGAGGAGCAGGAGAATAAACTACATTTCCTGGATGTCTTGCTAAGTAGGAGAGAAGATGGGTCACTTGGGAGAAGTGTGTACAGAAAAAGCACATTCACAGGGCAGTACACACACTGATTTTAAAAGAGACATTTATTATTATTAATATTTTAAAAGAATGGATACTGAACAAAGAGTACTCTTTTCGATAACCCACTCTTCTTTATCAGGCTCTACAGTTATATATTTACATTATAATGAATGAATGAATGAATTAGTGTTATGAACAACATTAATGCTTCCGTTTAAATAACATCAAATCAATAATATTGATAGATTACAGCTCAATGGCATCAACATAACGATAAGCTGAATGTCACAAGAATTAGGAAAGCTAATATTACAAATTCATGAATTTATAGTTTCTACTGAAGGCCAGGGCAGTAAAGGGGATTGGCTGGACTTGCTTCTTTTGGATACAGAGTGGAAAATACCCATTGGAACATTATATTGAAAAGAACAAGGAGTTCAGCAAAGATGGCGATCTTTTCGGCGATTTCATTCTCAAAAGGAGCTGCACAATCGCATATATATAGATTAGTTTACATGGATACAATTATTATTTGTTTAATTCCACAAAGTAACGAAGATGATAGTAATTTTCAACTTGATATGAAAGTTTGAAGGTACGAATATACAAATTACAAGGGGCTTAGAGACAAGATTTCATAGGAATAGAAAATAGTTACAACGTATGCAAAAACTAATATTTGTTAACTGGAGAAATAATTTTAAGTCAAAATGAAAGGTGATAATTGTTTTCAACTTGATATGAATTACAAGAGGCTTAGAAACGCAGGGATAGAAAGAATTACAGGTGTGAACAAAATGAGCATGGAAACAAAATGGAATCAAAATTTTTCAACTTGAAATGTTAGTTAGGAGGTGTGAATATAGATTAAAAAGGGCCTAAAAACAAAAAAGTTACACAGGATTAGAATATAATTGTAAAATGGTTATTCTAAACGGGGATTACAAGTGTGATCAGGAGGAGCATGGAAACAAACTTAAAATAACTAGTTTTATAACTGGAAAAAAATTAGATGAATCTAATGAAGACTGAGGGACTAAGGATCAGACACACAGTGAACGGAAAAAATGCTCAAAAGGAAAAGCGAGAACGAAAAAAAGACGAAGAAGAGAAAGAAAAAAAGTGGAAGCAAAGGGAACATACCAAACTAGATCACCCATGGTAGTTGTAGAGGTTAGACTAATTTCTTTTGAACACACAGCTCCGGCTTCTCGATGCATATTGCGAAGGCTTCTGGAGTACAAAGAAGTCGGAAACATACTAATGTTGGTAGATTTCTGTTGACTTTGTAAATCACTTTGGAAGAGTTAGTTGAGATTTTGTTGTAGGTGTTTACCAGATGTTCGATAATGGTATTTCTGATTGAGCCGGTGCCTCTTCTTTGCAGCCACGCTGGGTAGTGTTCTCTAACACGTTTTGAAAGGACGAGCATGCAACGACCTATGTACCTAGCTCCGCACGAGCAAGTGGACTGGTATATGCACATATCAAGTTGAAAATTATTATCACCTTCGTTACTTTCTGAAATTAAACAAATAATAATTGCATCCATGTAAACTAATCTATATAAATGCGATTGTACAGATGCTTTTGAGAATGAAATCGCCGAAAAGATCGCCATCTTTGCTAAACTTCGTGTTCTCTTTTTTCTAATAAACTGAATGTCAGCAAAAACATTAGGAAGGATAATATTACAAATTCATGAATTTATAGTCTCCACTGAAGGCTGGCCAGGGGATTAGTAGGAGCTAGACTTGCTCCTTTTGAATACAAAGAGCTGGTTGTTTGAGGCGGCGAATTACAATAGCCTTTGCTGTTTGGATCGTGCGTTGCTTCGATGACTTTGGCAATTTATTAGGCACCCTCGGTAGATGATGATAGAGTAGGATTCTTCAATGCTGGCTGGCTATCTTTGTGGCCAACCGGTTTGCACCAGATGGTCCAATATTGAGCTGTTAATGGTTTTCACTACACCTTCACTTAGCCATACTGGGAGAGGTTCTCGAACGAGCACGAAAAATCAAGTTCATAGAGTAACAGCCGATATAACTCGCTCTAGCACAAGCGCAGTTGAATTGGTAGATACAAGTGGAAGTGGCTAGCTAGTCTAGGTACTTCATCTTCCAGTCTTTATTTTAGTGCGGCGTCTGATACTCAAGATTTATCAGTAGTATACATAGATGTAATAGATAGATAAGAAGTAGCCAAAATCGAAAACAACAACAACCACATTTTAAGTCAATGACATTCAGAAGTAGAAGTGTTAATCCTGGAGGATGGGGGTTGCTTAAATCCTTGTGGTACCAGAGTTGCTTCTCACCGAAATACTTAATTTCATCTGAATTTATTTTTGTTTTAATCATCCAGTTATAACAAACGACCTTTACATGAACTTGCGCGCTGATTTAACTTACTTTCAAGTAAAAGCTGTGCAATTCTTCAATGAACAACATTATTATGAACAAAATTAATGTTGTTCATAACACTAATTCATTCATTCTCTATAATGTATATATAAGTGTAGAGTCTGATGGAGAAGAGGAGGTTATCGAAAAGAGTACTCTTTGTTCAGTATCCATTCTTTTGAAAAACATTCTTTGTCAATCATTTAAGATATATAAATGAAAAAAATATACAAAACAAACCTGATTTGCCGAATAACCTTTTGACATTTGAACACACTACTTAATCGTGATAAAAGGGGTGTCTTATATTTTTACCCTGGTAAGGATACCAGTTTTTTTCTACACATAAATAAAATAAAATTAAGTCATTTTTCCACTTGAATAGACTTCAGATTCATTCTAATGCTTTCATTATAACCATAATACATTATTATACAATTGGTGGATGGTGGCTAGCAGTGGAATCCAGGATGCGCATTTCGTCCCGTTCGGGACTCGTCAGCTGGATGTACCTGCATTTCTCAGTGAGTGATGATGTTTCCACTGAGGCTCGAACCCAGTACCCATGGTTTCAAACGTCAAAGCGTTATCCACTAGACCAGTTGGGCCACGAGAGCCACCTCTTGTGCAACGGGTCATATATTAATTATTGAATTGAATTTTCGATTTTCCCGTCGATTGATTGGACCGAAGTGCTCGGTCTCAGGTTGACATGTCAGCTTCTTGTGCGGATGCTTCGACGATGTCCGGGCATTTAGTTAGTATACAACTGGTGGATGGTGGCTAGCAGTGGAATCCAGGATAACGCGCATTTCGTCCTATTTGGGACACATTATAATGCAAAAATATTTCCTTCAATAACGTAACACATGCATTCTAGATAAACTGATGATGATGATGATGATGATGAAAGCTTGTAAACTTTTACACAGGATCCCATCAATCATATTTATACCTACCTGATTATGTAATTCAATTTTTAAAAAAAACTGAAATTCTGCTTCATTTTTAAATTACCCCAGTTTTTAATTGAAACAAATATTGAATAGTTTCAGTTATTGACATCTTTAATGAAATTATGAAGTTGAATTTAAAAGTTCTGCTAAAAACTAGGGAACATGTGGCTCTGTGTTGAATAAAAGTAAGTTTTTAAGTGATTTCTCATGAGTTTCATACAATACAGCAATGTCCATCTGTAATTTTGGGGACCACACATACACACATAGCTTGTGATGTGAATCTAAACAGTTTAAAAAGGTTAGTAATTAAAACAGTTGGTTCCCCTTTCTTCGAATTTAAACAAAGCCTTAAGATACAATTGGTGGATGGTGGCTAGCAGTGGAATCCAGGATAACGCGCATTTCGTCCTATTTGGGACTCGTCAGCTGGATGTACCTGCATTTCTCAGTGAGTGATGATGTTCCCACCGAGGCTCGAACCCAGTGCCCATAGCTTCAAACGCCAAAGCGTCATTACCCACTAGACCACTTGGGCCACGAGAGCCACTGCCTCTTGTACAACGGGTCATATTAATTATTGAATTGAATTTTTGATTTTCCCGTCGATTGATTGGACCGAAGTGCTCGGTCTCAGGTTGACATGTCGGCTTCTTGTGCAGATGCTTCGACGATGTCTGGGTATTTAATTAGTATACAATTGGTGGATGGTGGATAGAAGTGGAATCCAGGATGCGCATTTCGTCCTATTTGGGACTCGTCAGCTGGATGTACCTGCATTTCTCAGTGAGTGATGATGTTCCCACTGAGGCTCGAACCCAGTACCCATAGTTTCAAACGCCAAAGCGTTATCCACTAGACCACTTGGGCCACGAGAGCCACCTCTTGTGCAACGGGTCATATTAATTATTGAATTGAATTTTTGATTTTCCCGTCGATTGATTGGACCGAAGTGCTCGGTCTCAGGTTGACATGTCGGCTTCTTGTGCAGATGCTTCGACGATGTCTGGGTATTTAATTAGCATACAACTGGTGGATGGTGGCTAGCAGTGGAATCCAGGATGCGCATTTCGGCATTAAGAAGACATAATTTATCTGAATTGTGTAATGTGTATTTGCGCAACACTTGTCAGAAGGACGATAACATTGTAATCATAATTAATTAATACGCCTTGTTATGCCACCTGTGCGTTGGTGGCACAGTGGTTACGACTCTCGCCAATCATGCATATGGTCCGGGGTTCGAGCCCACGCCGACGCACACCTGATATCTATGGTCGGCCTGCGAATTTTGGGCTACCGATATCCATGCTGAAAATTCCACACTTATACCAAAAATACGGTGTGGAATCAAGCTGTTATCAAAAATAAAATAAAAAAATAGAAAAAATGAATGAAGTTCATCAGAGCATATCACTTAAATCTGTAGATGAGGAAGATAATTGTTCATCTTTCCTAAAATAGATGTATTGCTTAATCAACGGGTGGTCTGGTATATCAATAAAACGATCTACTTATAGAAAACCTACCTGGACAAGACAGTTTTTTTTAATTATCACAGTTTCTTCCCTGTTCACTACAAAAGAAGCTAATAAGGTGCCTCTTCAGTAGAATTCTAACGGATATGCAATGAAGACACACAATGAGGTAGAAAGATGTGTTTATACAAACTCTAGTTGATAACAATTATCAAGATAATTTCATCAGGAGATATAAAGTAGTCGGAACACCACGATCCAGTCCTTAACTTGTCGCTAAGAAAGACGTATACATCAAGCTACCCTGTAT